AGAAGATTCTTGGGGTCCTTTGGAAGGTTTAGGGTGATGTAGGTTGAGTTTGACGTTGCCTCTAGTGCTCCGACCAATTCAGTCTCTCTCCTGCCCTATCGTGCCGTCAAAGAACAGAGTCGCCAGCTCTCTGGCTGCTGGTGAAGTTCTGCTCGCCTTAGAGCTGTGAGCATAAACCTTCGAGTCATCATCCCCGTTTCATTACTCTTCCTAGGAATCGATCAACTAGACCCTTCCTTGTCTTTGCCCTGATTCACCGTTATTTGCAGCTGATGGGCCAGACTTCAGCCGGTGATAATGGTTTAAGCAAAAACTTGTGATTCTCATGCATGAACCTGTAACAATTTTCTCTCCTTTCGTGAACGACCCCACAATCATAGTGCCATGGTCATCCTAACAGTAGATGTGTAGCTTGCATCGTAGCTACGTCACACCAGAGCTCATCCTCATATTGGCCGATTTTGAAATGCACCTTGGCTCATTTGTTTACCTTGAGTGTGCCATACTCATTTAGCCAATGGAGACTGTAGGGTTGAGGGTGCCTGATTGTACCTAGTCTGAGCTTCTTGACGGCGTCCAAGCTCACGACGTTAGTACAGCTTCCCCCATCCATTACTACAGACAGTAGCTTACCCTTAATTGTACAAAAAATGTGGAACAAGTTGTCTCGTTGCTCTTTGTCATCACGAGATTCCAGAGTAAGCACTCGACGATTTACATCAAGAAATTTGCCTGAGTGAGGGATTTCTACTTCTATGGACTCGTCAACTTCAGAATCGGACTCAATTTTTTTTGTCCATGTCCTCATCTTCTTCATCTTTTGAGACATATTCACCATCTCAAAGTACCAAGGCCTTCTTATTTGGACACTAGTTGGCCTTGTGGCCTCTTCCTAAGTACTTAAAACCCTGAATGTTGCTTGTCAACTTTCCCGACTTCTCGTGATTCACCGGAGCAGTAGTGCGAGGTGCTGGTTTGACTCCTTCAACCTGGTATGCTCAAAATTGGCCAAAGATGGATGTTCTGGAACAAGTTTTGAAGAGGAGTACCTCCTTCCCGCACTGCTCGTTCTTGTTTTTCCACCTTAATCGCAAGATAGACAAACTCCTCAAGTTCCAGGAACTGCCAAATCTCCATCTTGTTCCTAATGTCTCGATTGAGACCATGGAGGAATCGAGAGATCTTGGCTTCCTTGTCTTATTGAACATCGGCGCGCAACATCAGCAGTTCGAGTTCTTTGAAATAGTCATCCACAGATCGAGTACCTTGTCGAATTCCCTGCAAAGCGTCAAATAATTCTCGCTGATAGTATCCAGGTATGAACCTATCCCTCATCAACCCTCATAGCTCGTCCCATGTTGTTATTGGAGGCTGCAAATTTTCCCTCCGTCGTAGCTGAGTATGCTCCCACCACATCGCTGTGTAATCTGAGAATTCATATGTAGCTAGTTGTACTTTCTGTTCCTCCGTATAGTGTCCACACTGAAAAAAGAGGACTATCTTTCTTTCCCAATCAAGATAACTAGACGCATTGTTGGAGCCGGTAAAAGAGGGAATCGAAAATTTGATTCCTCGTAGCTCTACAACCGTACCATACCCTATTTCTAGTGGTCGTCACTCATGCTCACAAAATTCGTGATGATGAATTCGTTTATCAGTCTTGGTAGCAACCAGCCGCCGTTCTAGGTTCTGAATCCTCTAGTTGAAGTCTTGATTGGCACCCATTGGCTGGCCGTTGTTTCGATTTGTCATTGGAGTCGCATTAGGCGTTGTCGAAGTGCCCTATTGTGTAGAGGGGTTCACTGGTGGTGATAGAGCATCCAATCGTTGATTAATCTGATCAAATTGGGTCTGGAACACTAAATTCAGATGGGAAGTAAGGGTCTGAAGAAGTTTAGTCATGTTGACCTGTTGCTCCGCCATGGTTGGCACGACGATCGGAGTTTCCTCCTAAGACTCAGATTTTGACTCTGCCTTATGTTTTTCGATTGGGTCTTTTGATCCAGTACGCGCCGCTACAGGTCCTCTTGCCTTTGAACATGCCACTGTGTTGAGCCAGGCGATGATGCCACTTGATAAGCCTAAATCTCGAGGCTTTTCCCCACAAATCCTCAAACTTGCTGGATGAAAACAGAATGAAAAGGGGGAAAAAACAGAGCGAAGAGGATGGAGTTGGAAGGTGCAACTTCAACACCAATTCTGGGGAAGAGGCTCGATCCAAATAAAGTCGCAACTCGACCACGATTGAGGTGGTAACCCAATCAATACAGAGCTTGCTCATCGCAACAAGGTCAATTCAAAAGCACAAACACTCAATGAACAAAGGTTCTTTCGATTAAACTCTAATGAATACAACGTGAGTTTCTAAGCTTTAAATAGACAAACCAAAACCTCATTCAATTACAAATAGAACAAAGAAAACATAATTGAACCATATTACAAATAAGGTAAGAATCAAAACTGGAAAAGGAATCCAAACTCGTCCAAGCTTCCTTTTCTTCTAGCATAAGCAAGCTACCTTCCAGCAAAGGTAAGCTGCCTTCAAAACAGGCTCTAGAGCTACTTTGAGCTCTTTGTTCGAAGCCTTAGAGGTCAACACTCCTTCATCCAATGCCTTGTCTTTCTAGATTAACATACGTACTTTCATGTGGTATGAAGCTCCTGACTCGATTCTCAATCCTTTTCCTCTAATGAGGCTTCAAAGTAGGCTTCATAGTCATATTTCACGCTTAGCCATTTTCAAGGAGTTTTTCATATGAGTCGAGATGACTTCTTTGGCAAGTAATCCTACTTGAAAAATGAGCAATCTAGGATTTTATCAGGCTCCCCCTCTTTAAAAAGCTTTGCCCTCAAAGCTGGTTCCTTCCTCTTCTCAAACTCTTCACAGAATCCTTCCCAAATTGGGTGGAAAGAAGGCTGCTCAAACTCCAATATCAGCAAAACTAGGGCAGTGTTCTTCAACAACGAATTTGGGGCTTTTTGATTCACAGAATTTCATACCTCACCATGGTTCTACTTAACTTTCTGACCCAGCCATTCATCTCGGCTCTTCCTCGTCATCGTCGAATCAAAATAAATCATCTCCAAAAATTTGTCCCAAACCTGAGCCAACCCACTGAAGGACGCACACGTGTGAGATTTAGAGGTCACTCAGGTTCCCCTTCCACAAAAATGTGTAACCCCATGGGCTGTAGCTTTGGGACAGAAAAGCTTATTTTTAAATACCTTTTGCTAGGCATTTCCTACTAATATGGTATATTTTAGACTTCATTTACCTTTCAAAACTATACTTCCTCGACTAGTTTCCTAATGAACCGAGCTTGACTCAGCTTCAAAGGCTCGTGAATTAGCTCGTATCAGTTGTTTGTTGAGCTGAATTCTCGAGTTGGGTCATTTTAAGCTCATGAATTGGTTCGACAGAGTGGCTAGTGAGCCAGGTCAACTAGCGACTTATTAGTGAGTCGAGCTATAGCTTATGAGTTGACTTACTGATAATTCATAGGTTTGTAAGATTATATGTCTTGTCATATATTATGTTTAAAACTTTGAGTACGTGATCAAACATGTCTAATTTTTATTTAAATGGTAATAGCAGTCATAGATTGCTTCAATACTAATTGATATAAAATTACATGACATGAACTAGTCAAAATTTATGAACAAACTAAGATTATAATAAAAAAGTACACAATGGATTAATTTATGATAAAAATTGGGATTTTTACAAAAATATTACTTTTTAAAAAAATTACCTAAAATCCAGCAGACTTAAAACTAATGGAGAATTTATGGTTCATATGAAGCAATTGTGCACACCGAATACAGTTTGTGGCAAAAAAAAAAAGCTAATATGAGCGAGGACAAGCCCAATTGGTGCGTCCGCACCCCAAATATCGCAGCAATCATGTCCACCTCCTTGTGGATATTTCAACTCCGATAGTTTTTATTGATTTGACAGTAGCTTCGGAAGAAAGATAAATCATGGGGGAAGGGGATTTGATTTCTCGATGAAGAAGAATAGGGCAATAAGTGGTGAGGGAAGGCGATAACAACATTTAGGGCGAGGATGCCAACTTAATTTTTGCCATCAAACCCAATTCAGGCATGCACGTCCCAATTGTTTTAGATGGATCATAGATCCGAAATCATTTTCAGGCATGCTATATTTAAGGTAATTGTTTTAAAAATAAAAAAGCAATATTCTTGTAAAAAACTTAAAAAATTCACTATTATTCTTTTTATATCATGACATTAATCACTTATATCATATATTAAATAAAAATATTATGATATTTAATTTATAAATTATTTTAGAGTTTAATTTTGGAGTGTAATTATTTAAAATGATAATTGAGACGAGCTCGAACCGAGTTTATAAATTAATAAATGCTTAATTTCAATAAGACAAATCGAGCTCAACCTCAACTTATTTATTGACAAACTAAACATCAAACTTGGCTCGGATCAACGCTTACTCTCTTTCAATCACTCCGCTCCCATGTAGTGCGTGCACAGAATATGTTACACGTGCCAACCAACTATATTACGAGATTGCTAATTAGCCACAAAAAGGGTGAAAAGAAAAGGACAACCAAACCAGCAAACTTTTCTTGCAGCCAATTTGCTACGTACATTAATCACTTTCAACATAGGAAAGCCATATACATAACATAAGCTGACATCCTAATTTAATATGGCTCCTTCCTGCCATCTACTTAATTATAGCAATAGCTAGCTCCACCAAGAGGATTATATATTACACATACATCGGCCAAAAGCCCGACACTGCATCTCCTGCGCAAATGAAGACAACCAAACATTCTCATGTCGATCCCCTCCTATGGATTATTCTCCATGGCTTGGCCGCCGTTAAAATTATATGCAGCAAAGTGGCCTGACGTATAACCCACGTGAACAGACAATCAACAATATATAATATCATTCAAAATCATATAAACCCAAAACATGATTAATTAGTACTATCTTGTGGAGCTAGCTGGTTAATTACCTGGAACAGGAAGGTCTAGCTGGTAGAATTGAGGGTGATGGAACGGCGGCGGCTGCTGATGGTGCAGAAGATGCTGCTGCGGAAGCGGCTGAGGTGATTGTCGAGCCTTAAACGAACTAACAGCGGCGGGTTCCTCCACTTTATTATTGTTGTTAATCATCTTCCCGTGATGATTACTATTACTATTATTGTTAGTGTTATGCAGAGTAGGAAAACTCCCTTGCAATATATTGTTGGTATGCCCATTGCCATTCACAACCTTGCCGTTGCCACTGACACCGTTGCTGCCGCCGTTACTACTCCAAGAACCCGGCAGCGGCGGCGGCGGGGCTTGCTTGTTGTACATGACGCCGCCGCCGTGGCCTTGCGGCCGGACCATCTGATGGCCGTTGTGGTGAGGGAGGCACTTATAGAGGCCGAGCTCCTTCTCCAGCTGCTGCTTCTCCTCCTGCAGCCGCTGGAACTGCCGCAGGGCGCCCAAAACGGGGTCGTTTTCCCTCGACGCCGCCTCCCAGATCAGCGACTCCGCCACCCGCTCCCTGTCCCGTGCCTCCACGCGCCGCATCATCTTGATCACGTTGCTCACGCCGAACACCTTGTGCACCGCCTGGAACTCCCGCGTCTTCTCCGCCGGAAACACCGCCGCCAGGATGCAGTCCTCCGCACACTTTTTCCTCTGGTGCTTGCACGACGCGCAGGCCGGGTGGCTCCCTCCCCCACCGCCGCCGTTGGTTGCTGCGACGGCTGAGTCGCCGTCGCCGTCGCTAGGGATTGTGTCTTTTCTCTGCATCCTTAATTAATCGGGAGACAAAATTCATGAATTATTCCACTCCGTCAAAAAAAGAAAAAATTAAAAATTAAAACCTAAACTAATGCCACGAATAATAATAATAATAGTAAGATTAAATGGTAAAAAAGAAAAGAGAGGATCTTGCATTGCAAGAAAATCACGCAAGCCGAAACTTGCGTTAGGTTAGATTTACAGAGAGAGTCAGAGAGAGCGGAGAAGATGAAGAAAATTGAGACCGAAAAAGGTTACCTTGGCATGAATACTTTGTTTAAAGGAGAGCGCAAAAGGATTAAAAGACTACTAGTTTGTATAAATAATATAGGATGAGCAGGAGAGAACAAGGAGAAGAAAAACAAGATTGATAGTTGATCTGAATTGTAAGACATTTATAAATCTAAATTAAATAAATGGTTTTCGAGAAGGGTTGGATTAGGGTTTTAGGTAGTGCATAGCAAGAACAAGACCCAATATTTTATATGCTAATACAATATTTTATATGCTAATATGATTTATCAAGTTTATTTATTTTTTAATTAAGTATTTAACTTATACATGGATAGTTTTCGTTTCTTCTCTTTTAATAATCTGTTTATTACGTGGAGAGTTTGACATTATAAAGGAAATAGGTGCTCTGTCTAGGGAATTAAAAGAGTTAGCTCCACATAATTGTCCCTTAATTAAGTAGATCTAGACGATTTAGGGAAGTGTATCTATATACTACATTTGTAGTTTATTCATCAAAAGGGTCTTCACTATTTTTTTAGGGTTAATAGAATACTTAATATTCCTTTACTATTACAAATTAACAACGTATCTTTTTACTAAATTTTTGTACAAATATATCATTTGAATATTAAAACGTAACAAATATACCCTACTATCTAATTATCCGTTAGTCAACCGTTTAGTGAGTTGGAAATGACCAAAATGCCCTCATTTAGTATTAATTTTGTTTATTATTTTTTAATCACAACCCAATTAAGAAAAAAACTCAATTGCACCCTACTTACAAAGTCCTTCGAATTCAACACAAGACGCGATATTTTACGTGGTATCCTTGGTGGCTCTGAAGAGCTCATGACTGATATCTTATTAGGATTACAACTTAACAGCTTCCTTACGAAAAAACTGTAGCTTAACTTTTATAGAGAAAGACTTAGGATTAAAATCCTAACGAGAAGGTCAAGTACGACCAAGTATCCAAACCTACTACAACTCGAACAAGGCCCAACAAGTCCTAATAATCACAGTTATAAGTAACCGCAACACTCCCCCTCAAGCGAAGACATGAATAACAAGAATGTCAAGCTTGAAAAGGGAGTGTGAAGAACAAGCATGACAAGCTTGTACAATAAAACACAAGATGAATGTCATCTCAGACAAGGTTGATTTGGAGACGACTGACTCTCGCTCTCTGAACAACCTGACGAAGATGGTTGACTACGTCTTCTTAAACGTCGTGACAGAGACGGTTGACTGCGTCTCTTTATCACTTGATCTCACTTGGTACATTGAGGTTGACTTGACGATTGAGCTAGTCGACTGACGGCGTATGTTGATTCCCTATTTTGTCCCTCAAACTGGAGCATGAACGATGTGAATGACCAACTTGAAAGTTTAACGGCGAAGACTCAAAATTGACCAATTCTGAACGTGAAGGGGATGGTCGATTTTTGATCGTGATTGCCTCGATTTTTGACTTGACAAACTTTGTTGACGAAATCTTTTCCATTTCCCCAACACTAGCTGTTGAAAGGACAACGACGAGAGGTCATGACTGTCTTCAATGCTAGGACTTTAGTTGATGTTGGTAAAGATTCTCCTTTCTACGTGACATTGAGTGGCCGCAATGAAAACTTAACTCCAACTGTGGACATAGTATGAGTCCATGGTGTTAGCATCTCATGGATTGTAAACTTCGGAAGTATCCCGAACTGAGAGTTGACCACGAGGACGCTAGTCACAATAAATTGTATTTACCTAGTTTTTAATAGAAATGTTAGTAAAAGTAATAATATTCTTGTTTTTGAAACAAGGTTCATTAACGATTTTTAACGGCTTAATAAAGTTTAAACCATAAAGTGGTAACCACTTGCTATTTCGGTTGGTCGTCGGTTTGATTTTAACAAGATTGCAAATTATTAATCTTCATTTTGAAACCCGATTAGACCAGAGGGTTTTGACTGGTTTAACCAGGTTTTGACTTTTTTCAGGAACCATCCAACTAGGGAGTTGCTAATTGTCGCCCTAAGTTTTCTATTTACCAATTGAAAATACTTTATTGCCCTTCTCTTTTTATTATTAAAATTATTATAACAAACAACTAATACCCCGCTGCTGTTAACTAATCACCACCGCAACCAACAACCGCACGAACTCATCTCCATCATCATCGTTTCCATCGCCTCTAATCACCGACGCAACTTTTGTCAGGGAATTACAGAGTGCTCAAACGCAACCGAATCAAGGAGAATAGCCTGGTTAGAGAGGTTCGTGGTTTTCCATTCACGTATGGGAAAACGATCGTCGAGGCCAGCTTCCACCTCTCTCGTTGGATAGACTGGAGACCAGCGAAAATCACACGTTCATCCGCCACAGCGATCTCCGAATCGGCCCCTAGATGCCTCCCCAACCCTAGCTTACCTGAATCGTTAAAGTTTTTCATGAATTTCGAAATCCTACGGAACCAATTCAGTTGTCGGCGAAGGATCGGGTAATTCAGACTATCCAGGGAGAGTGAGGCGAAACACGTACTTTGTTGGGGTTAGTGATCCGGTCGGTGGCGCAGGATGAAGTAAGCCGGCGTAGGTGTTGGCGAAGGATGATTTAGTAATATCACAATTTAAATTAGGGAGATAATAGTAAAGTTAGGGCGACATTTAGCCATCCAGTTGAACTAAAGTGTATTTCAATCCTTTGTATGATCGACTTTGATCGGACCAGGTTGAACCGGCAGGACGGATATTGGCTCGACAATCTTATAAGTTATAATTCGTGAGGCAACCGAGTGGTGATTTGGTAATTTACCTCCCTCCGCCCTCCAATGACGATGGCGACGGTTCTTGCCGAACCGAACTCCTGGGTTGGGTTCAACACATGGAGTAAGAAGCGTTGGAGTCGTCGTCCAGCTTCAAGATTTCCGTTTCCAACCCAACTGATTAACTGATCACTTTGTGGTCTACGGATTTAATCCCTGTTCCCCGCACCCACGCCTACCTCCTCTGAAACGGGGAATTTCCCCGCGATTCATGGAGTCGGGTCGCTATTATCTCCGGGGCCCGTTCATTGCCTCCTTTCTCTGCTACTTCCATTTCCTCGCCCCCTCCTCCGCCGTCCGCTCGCTACCGACGCTTCTCGGCGTCCATCCTTTAGGTGTCCGCCTCCGTTTCCTCTGCTTCTCAGAAACCTAAATCGGTCGATTCTGCATTACTGTTTTCCCCCCTGCTGCTTTTGATTATTATGATGATTTGATTCGTTGTTGTAGCCCTGCAGATGAGCGGTACTTTGCTTTGGCGGTCATCAAGTGCAAAGACGGATCCGATTCTTTCTCCAGGGACCGGCTCAATGATGATTTCTGCGATTGCGTCGACGGGACCGACGAGCCAGGTGAACATTTTTTTTGGGTTTTCTTTTTGTTTGTTCAAATCGGTCGATTCTTTGGAATAGTTATCGCATTTGGCTCTTTACTTTTTCTTGACTGAGTTGGGTGCTGCCTCACTTGCATTTTTCTGAGATATTGCCCTTTGTTCCTGGGCAATCATTTTGAACGTGTTATCGTTTTGTCTGTGGTTGCAGGGACTTCAGCTTGTCCTAGAGGAAAATTTTACTGCAGGAATGTAGGAAGTACTCCCATGTTTATATTCTCTTCTCGTGTTAACGATCAAGTTTGTGGTATGGAATACTCAATGACGCATGCTTGCTGTTCATTCTCATTTGTTTATAGTATATGCTGTTATATGTTACTGCTCTCAACGTCCAAGGCCCTTCATCATCCTTCCAGCCGAGCAAAAACTTTCTGACAGCAACTCTGTTATAGTACCACCTTACTTCAGTGAGTTCCATTTGGATTTTGTTTGCAGATTGCTGTGATGGAAGCGATGAATACGGCAGTGGAGTCAACTGCCCCAACACATGCATCATGGGGGGAGGTAGCTTGGATTACAAGGCTGGAAACTATCTCTCTTACCTCGATGCTAAAAGAGCCAAAGACGCAAAAGGAAAAGAATGGAAGCACCAAGCTGGTCTAGAGGAACTGTTGCTGAAGGTTACAGGTAACCTAATCTCTGAGCAATAGTATTGGTTAGTGCAGCAGTGATGCTTGCAGTTGAAGAAGTCGCATAATGTTAAAAACATGCTTACATTTGGTAAAATCCCTTTTCAGGGTTGAAGATGGTACTACTTCTGCAAGGGTTTTTGGTTGCTTCAGTGGTGATCTTCAATTTATTAAAGAGGCGCTTTAAGGCCAAGAGAAGGCGTCATCATCATCAATAGATTGCTTCCCTTTATGTTAGGTAAAGCTATACTCTGCAAGAACCTCTCTCAAGTTCCCTACCCTTATGCTTCAGAATTTTTATTCATTATCCTGTGCGAACTTAGATGGAACCATTGGTAGTAGGCAGTAGCATTTCAGAATTGACTGATAAGGCTTTGAAAATCGATGTGAGGGAAGACTTATGTTCTTCTTGTTATACGTTCTACTGATTGTAGAGTGTAATCAACATTACCTCAACTTTCCATTTTATTCTAACCTAGTCCTTTTCGTTAGTTTTCCGTGAAATGCTTGTTAACGTGTATGGGAAATTATCAAATTGTTCTTCAATGGAGACCCTAAACTATGAGTTTTTTCCAACCAAGACTATCAACTTATATCGATGTGAAACCTTTCCTCTCCTATTTCACCACAAAAAATGAAGCATCTCACACGCATGAGAATGTAAGGGGTTAGGCTGTGAATATTCTTTTCAGAGCCAAGGGAAATCTTTTCCCTGGGTTTTCCAATTGAAAGAAAGAAAATAGATTTTAACTTACTTATATTAGTGTTTACTCAATACGTTTACAGTTTTTCTTTTGCTACTTCCAGTGACTTATTGTAATACATGGACTTGTATAATCCTTTAATAGCTTACTTCATGTTGTATCTGGAATTCGTATGCATGTTCACTAAATGCTTTGCTTAATGTTAGATGAGCTTCTTCTTGGAGTAGATATCTTCTTCCCTACAGAGGGAAACTGGCTAGCATGGCAATGCCACACTTACCACCTTTCTCTTTAACATCACGTTCCATTCTGATATAACCATCTTCTCCCCAATCGGCGCCCCATGAGTTCTTCACAATCCAGTACTTGGTACCCTTCTCCACTGCATACCCAACTGCTGCCACTCCATGGTTGAGGTTAGATCCACAGGATCCAGTTAAAATGCCTTTAGAATAGAGTTGAAATTCATAACTACCAGCATCGATTGCAACAGAGACAGGTTGTTTTGCAACGGCAGCTTGGAGGGCTGTCTCGTTGTTACGAGATACAATCTCATAGCCGCTTATCTTTGCAAGATGATCTTTGAGTTTCTTTTCGTCACAGTCGCCATCTCTACCCTTGTAGGGATAGTTCTTCTCAGTTGTAAGTCCCCCAATCTGGGCGATGAATTCAAATGCTGTCTCCATGAACCCTCCACCGCAGCCCTCGTCCTCACCATCGACATCACAATCGACAAGCTCTTGCTCTGAAAGAGTCAGCAGTTCGCCTGTTTGAATTTGGTGGAAGCCTTCCACTGCTGCCACAGCAGAGAATGCCCAACAGCTTCCTGTAGAGTGAGGAAACAGCAAAAAATTAGGAGTTTACCTCTTTGATAACGTGCTTCTAGCTACTTGAAAGATGTGGAAAATCAATCATAATATGAATAGGGAAACAAAGCTTCATACATACCACAAGGGCCTTGATCTTTGACCTTTGTGACAGCACCTTTCTTCCTCCAATCAACTTCAGCTGGCAAATGTCCACAAGAGCACTCAGCCTGCAGCCTCTGGTGTGCAGTCTCCAAAGGACGGCGAAGACCAAGGTAGGTTGATTTGAACTCATCATTGGTGAGGTCAGCAAACTTGTTGTCAGTCAGCTGGAAAGAAAGATTCTGAGAGTTGATGTGGTTGATGAAATGAACGTTGGACTGGTAAATCTGAAACCGGTGTTTGTATTCAGCTTTGCTCCTGTACTTCCTACCATGCTTGCTCAGCCATCGGCCATACCTCGCCTCCATGTCTTTTGGAGAGTCATGCCCTGAAGCCATGCTGACTTTGGAGCTAGCCACACAAATAATGCTCACGAGTAAAAGAATGCAGCTAACCATCCTCAACACTGATGCTGCTGTTGTCTCCATGGCTAGCTGGGGTTGAGTATGCAAATGCTGTAGTTGAGTTTGCAAATGTAGTTTGAGAATGGTGGATCCTATATATAGACAGAGGAAGATCAGTCCGGGAAGGCACAGCTTCCATCTCTGCATCTGAAATGTGTCATGCTAATTCCCCAATTTTGAGACCCAGGTACCTTGTTCAGATGATGTAACGCCACGAGGTTTTGAAAGTTTTGTGTTGGATAATACATTGTTGAAGGTGTTTCAGTTGTGTGGTTCTTTTGCCTGCCAAAATTCTGTTTCGCTATTTGCCAATTCTGAGAGGGCAAGACTCTCTGAGTTAGTTTCCAGTGGACAACAGAGAGCTTGTTGAGGTAGTAACTGTAACAGGCTGTCTCACTAGGTATACGCCATAACTGATGTCTGGGAGGGAAAACTTGTTGGGGCTGCATTGTTCTTGCATGAACTGAATACCCCCATTTGAAAGAGAGAGTCCTGCACATCTGCCTATCCAGAAGCAGGAAAGGAATTTTATTGTTGCACTGCTGCTGTTGGGGCCATTTGCCATGTGCTAAATAGCACTTGGAATGGAAATGGTCCACCTTTGAGTTGGCCCCTACTTGAATGGAAGTCGGAGACGATATTAAGGTGCGATATTTACTCTCAGAGTTGGGCTACAAAGAGGCCGTGGTCGAGTGGTCTGATTTTCAGCATGAAGTCCCAGACTCAAATTGTAGAGACGACACTCATTTCTTCTATAGGGGTGTAAGTTTCACCCTGAAAATTTACTGACCCATCCCGATTCGTTTTGTATCTGAGGGGCGGACGGGTCAGTTTGTCTATAGGGTCAGTTTAGAGACGGATAAGCTTTTAACCCTATAAGGGTCGGGACGGGTCGGGTCAATTTAGGGACGAGTCACTTTTTGACCTTGTAATCCTTAGCAACAACAAATATCTCATACCACATTGGACCTCTTTGTAAAAGTTTTACAAGTTTAGGTACTAAATTGCAAAAATAAAAAATTTTGGGTACCAAAATGTAATTTTACCATCAAAATTTAAGGAATTATTTGTAAAATAAATAAATTTTAGGTACTAAATTGTAAGAAAAAATAATTTTGGGTACCAAAATGTAATTTGTAAAACAAGTAAAGTGTAGATTAGGGTCGACCCAATGATCCAACCCGTCCCATCCCTTGAGGGTCAGACAAGGTTAAGAAGGAAACAGGGACAGGACGGGTCAATTATACATCTTGACCCTTCAGAGACGGGACAAGAATAGGTCAGGGCAATTTTCGGCCCTAAATTTTCTTCTTCCCCTCCTCCATCTCTCTAGTAGCACAAAATAACAAAACTGTAAAAAAAAAAAAAAATTTCAAACTCAAAAGTAAAAGGGCTAATTCTATTAGGATAGCCCAAACTATTCAATAAGTGTCATTTGTGTACAAAATTATTCAATGTGACAAATTTGGCACGAACTATTTTTTCGTTAATGTTGACCGGCGTTGAGCGTTAGTATTTATCAGAAAATCTAGTCAGCATCTATGTGGTTTGTGCCAGATTGTCATAATTGAATAGTTTAGGACACAAATGTCACGAAACACAAATAGTTTGTGTCAGATTTGTTATATTAAATAGTTTAGAAAACAAATTACACTTTTAAAATAGTTTGTACTTGCTAGTGGAATTAACCAAAAGTAATACGAAAATTTCCATGTAAAAAAAGAACTGTTAACCAAAAGTAAAACAAAAATTTTCATGTAAAAACGAACTGGGCTACAAGTTTCAAACTCAAAAGTAAAACGAAAGTTTGTATTTTGGCCTATGATTACAGAGGCACTAGACAAATATTCTGGGGTTTCGTTTTAAAAGTGTAAATATGAATCATGAATAACTAGATCCCCTAAAAAAAGTGTTGCTAGTAGTTAGTTAGTAAAGGGATTTTTCCAGAAATAGCACATTTAAAAAAAATTACAAAAATAGCACCCATTCCGTAGTAATTACAAAAATAGCACCATTTTTTAAAAACCGCACCCCTTGGTACGTTTTGCATGTAAACCGCACCCGCTGGTGCGTTTTGTCATTAAACCGCACCTTGGGGGTGCGTTTTAGGTTTCTGGGGCAAAATCGCAACTTGGTCATGCGGTTTGCGGTCTGACCTAATCAAACCGCATTGCCCAGATGCGGTCTAGGCCTGACCTAGCAAAACCACACTTTGAGGGATCCAAAACAAACCGCACCCTCAAAGTGCGGTTTTGGCAACACAAACCGCACCCCCCAATGCGGTTTGTGTGTCAATTATTTCCCGACACCAGACATGAAGCCATGCAGATTGACGGACGTGGGGCTGCATGGCAAATGAAAACTGCACCTGTGCGGTTTTCATTGATGATTTTCCCTATAAAAGGCAGCCCGGGAAATCTTCTCTTCACACCTCTCCTTCTCCCTTTTCAATTTTCTATTGTAGCTCCCTATTTCTCTAGTGTTTTTGCGGTTAACGTTAACTCGTAAGTTTATTTTGTATTACTTTTTATTGTGAATTGTGAATTGTGATTTTTATGATATTAGTTGAACTACTGTTTTTTTGCAGATGGCATTCCAAAAGTTCACGATTGGGTTACGGTGGAATGGTTACACGGAAGAGAGCGGAAAGGGGGTCACCTACGTCGGTGGCAATTTTCAGAAAATAAAGGTCGCTACCAGACCGATGCTTGAAGACCTCTATCAAATGTGTACTAATGTTTCTTGCATGGATGGCACGAGAAGAGCAAGGTGGAGGTGAATTATATGGATATCATCCCTACCAAATTTACCATGATCCTCATTCCTATTTTCAGTACCAAGAGCAAGGTGAAGGTCATCATCAATCTGACCCGTCATATGAAGAAGAAGTTCAACCGGACCATGCCAACCAACCCCAGTAGAACTTCCAATCAGGCAGTGGTAGTTTTCACAACTACCATTATGGAGCTGATGAAGGTGCCTTTCATGAGCTGGATCAGATGGAAGATGCCCAGCCAGCACCAGTCAGCGACCCCTCCGATGAAGAAGGAGAGAACAACGTCAGTGCAGACAGCTCCGACCCTCTTGAAGGTGCTGATGATTCAGGACCAGAGTCAGAGTTAGATAATGATGATGAGGTGGCTCATGACCGTGTACCAGTCCCCTACTACAATCACATTCCAGACGGCAATTGGATGGTCGACAGCGACATGGAACCCCCGGAGGTTCCAATATGGGGTCCACTCGCTGGGTTTATAAAGGGACAACAATTTGGCTCGAAGAAGGAGGTGCGGCACGCCATTGATACTAAAGCAATGACTCGGCATTTTGAATGGCACACAACTCATTCCAACACGAAAAGGCTCATAGTCAGATGTCGTAATCATAACGAGGGATGCAATGTTAGCATTCGAGCCATCAACAGCAAGAGACACGGCCATTGGGTCATATCCCGTGCGCTGAACACACACACATGTGTGTCATCCATAACATCCCAAGGCCATCGACAGTTGAAATCCAGGGTGGTTGATGCGGCTATCGAGCATCTAATTGAGCAAGATCCTGACCTGAAGGTGAAAGTCATAATCGTTGACATTGCAAGTCGTTATGGTTATATGATTAACTATAAGAAGGCGTGGCATGGAAAGAAGAAAGCTCTGGCTGCCGTATATGGTGATTGGGAAGAATCATATGCATTCCTTCCCAGGTTGATTTTGGCACTGGAGCGTCTAACCCTGGCACTGTTTTCTCCCCTCGATACCAAGATGAAGAGGTACAACCGCCAGAGCCAGGTAACAAACGCCATTTCAGACGACTTTTTTGGGCATTCAAGCCATCTATTGATGGTTTGGCTTCTGTGTCCCTGTGATCCAAGTGGATGGTACATTCCTTACCGGCAAGTATAAGGGCACTCTACTGATTGCCAGTGGGGCGGATGCAAACAAACAAGTCTTTCCATTAGCCTTCGCCATTGTTGAGGGAGAGAATACTGAAAGCTATGGATGGTTTTTCGGCAAATTCAGCTCCACGTCACTAGGAGGACGAACCTGAAAATAATCTTTGATCGGCACGCCGGGATTAGAGTTGCCATCTTAGGTTTGGATCCAGCCTGGAAGTGGTCCCAAAGGTGGTGCATACGACACTTCAAGAGCAACTGGAACCATCATTTCAAGCGGAAGAAGCTTGCTGATAATTTGTGGTGGATTGGTAAGCTCTCTATTGGTTGTTTAATTTTGTCTGATAACAATATCTTATATCAAATAAATGATATACTTGTTAGACTCTTTCTAAAGAGATGCATGCCTAAGGAAATGGGATTTTAAGCGATTATCATGGTCCTGCCATTTCCTGGGAAAATTGGGTTTCAAGCGATCCTCGGATCCCCCCTTTTTCTGTCAAAAAGGCTGCGTTTCTAAGGAGATGTAAACCTCTCCTAAGAGTCTAACGAGAGTACCTGCTTGTTGTTCGAATTGTAATAAATTGCCGAATTATTACTAATGTAATACTTGGTTGTGATTACCTCAGCTGTTGCATACTAGGAGAAACAATTCCAGGAGAAGTTGCAGAAGATGCGGGAGTTATGCCCTGAAGGGGCACAGTGACTGGATGGACACGACATATCCATGTGGACATTTCATAAAGACGGAGGTACAAGATGGGGTATGGCCACAACGAACTCATCAGAGAGTATCAATTCTGCCTACAAGGGTGTTCGGGCGCTGCCAATCTCTGCCATTGTGGAGATAACTTTCTGGAAAACCAATGGATGGTTCGTCAATCGACTACACTGGGCAAGGACGAACGAGGCACAGGGAAAGGTCCATGCCATAAAGTCACAGAAATACTGGAGCATGACAATCGAAAGAGTAGTCGACATAGTGTAACCGTTATGAATCGGGCAACTGGCGAGTTTAGCGTCACGACCGGACACCGTGAGGATGGTAGACGCGGGGGCCATCGCCATGAAGTTTTGGTAAATTTCAGGATAAAACTTGGCGAGTGCTCATGCCAGAAGTATCAGGGGAGAGGGTGGCCATGTTCTCATGCAATGGCTGTAATTAAAAACAGGAGCAAAGACCCCCGTCACTTCGTCAGTCCATTCTTCAATATCGACTCACTCAAAAATTGCTATGGACGTAGTTTCCGTGCATTGCCTGATGAAGCTTATTGGCCGGTGTACTCAGGAAAGTTGATAATCCCGCCGTTCGGATAGAGGCGTGAACCGGGTTTGACCGAGGAGGAAAAAGAGAATTCAAAACGAAATGGATCAAAGTGAAAGACCACCACGAGGCCCAAGACGATGTTCAGTATGCAGAGTTCCAGGC